CTTCTTGATCCTCATCCTTCTAGACGTCTCTGAGGTCTCTGACACTGTCAATCCCCTTCTCCTTAATTCCTCTCTTTACTCTGGGTTTTTGGGACACTTGTCTCTCCTAGTTCTCCTCCTACCTGGGGACCACTGCTCAGCCTCCTTTGCTGATCTTCGTTCAGGCAGCTCATGACTATCACCCACTGAAATCATCACTTGTGGTAGAGGCAATGTACGCATTATCAATACCGTAGATACTCGAAATATTAAAGTAACAGTCATGGTTCATATTATGGGATGCTTTTGTGCTCTGAAAGTGCTTCCCATCAATGATTTCTAGAATCTCAGGGTTGGGAGGGAGGGCTTAGGAGTGTAGTGTAAACCCCTGCATGATGTAAGGACTCCTTCCTCTAGCTTTTGCTTGAAGACCATGAGTAAGAGTGAAGTCCCGGCTAGAACAGATGGCATTCTCATTTTATAGACGGGTTCTAGTGTAATTTTATAGCCATAAGTAAAGTGATTTGTCTTAGTTCATGTAGTTTATGTGATAAAGCCAGACCTCCCAATTCCTAGCCCAAGTCTCTTTCCACTGTATCATAAATCCTGTTTCAAATACTCATAGAAATTTCAGGGAATATCAAGACTACAAACTATTAAGGTTTACAGCAAAGGCCTAGCTAAGGCAGTTCAGGGGCTTGTCAAAACATGCTAAAAAACCCGTAAGAATACTAACCACCATCTTTAGTTAATAAAGCATTTGTATCCAAAGGAAGGCAGAGCGCAGTAGATTCTAAACATCCCAATGAAGGTAATGATTTCATTTCCAGAAAAACCGAGACACTGAGTCGTTAAGCGAGTCACCCCCAAGGAGACATTTCCAGTGGTTATGTTGTCCTACAGTACAAGAAGTGAAAGCAGGGGTCAGTAAGTAGAGCAGAAGATTCAGGCAAGAAAGGGTAAGGCAGTCTGGTTATGCTGGTTATGCTAGGGAGAGGAGTGGGGAGATCCCTGGACAGAAGCAGGCAAAGGGATGGACGAGGCCAAAGTCTAACCCACAAGAATTGTAAATGCTCCTGGGTGCATCCTTCCCTAGCCTATACATTGCTTTTGCATTATTTACTATAGACTGGTACATTTATAAAGAGCACTAACTCCCTTTCTTTATACTCAGGCATAAAACAGTTTAAGCCCTAATGTTTGGTAGTTGCTCAGGCCAGTCCAGAGATTAGGCAATCAATCCACAAACATTTATTAAGCATTAGCAGCGTACTGGCACCAGGGATACAAAGAAAAGCAAAAACAAGCCCTCAGGGAGCTTACAGTCTAATGGAAGAGACAACATATAATTAAGCAGCATAAACAAGATTCATATGGAGTAAGTGGAACATACCCATTTAGGGGAATTCCCTAGCCTCTGGGGGAGCTGGGGAAGGCCTCCTCGAAGACTGGCATCTGAGCCAAGGATTCTAAGGAGCATTCTAGGCATAGGGGACAGCCAGCACAAAGCACAGGAACAAGAGATGGAGCATCATGTTTGAAGAACAGCAATTAGGACAGAGATCGTGGAGGGAAGTCAAGAGTAAAAAGACTGAAAAGGTAGGGTGAAGCCAGGTCGTGAAAAGCTTTAAATGCCCAACAAAGGACTTTCTATTTGATCCTGGAGGAGCTGGACAGCTCCTGATTGGCCCTCTCCCTTACTGTGGGCACATACTAAATCAGATGAAAAGCTCCCAGAGGGCTATATCATAGGCTATAGTGTCATTCCTTTATCCTTTGTTTCAATATCAATACATTATAACCGGCTAAGTTCCCTGGAAGCTTAAATTGTGTCTTTTTTTCACTAAATCCAAGCAGAGCATTACAGTAGGTACAGCAGATACGATAAATATCCTCTGTGCCAGGCTCAGTGCTAAGCACTGGTGATGCAAATAAGACTAAGAAAGCAGTAACAGCCATGTTGTTCGATGAATGACTTTGATAGACTTAGCCCTTCTCAGCAGCAATGCAAGGATCTAAGACATCTCCAAAGGTCTCATGATGGAAAATGCTCTCCACATCCAAAGAAAGAACTATGGTGTCTGAATGCAGATGGAAGCAAATTATTTGCTCTTTTTTTTTCTTCTGTTTTGTTTTGTTTCCTCTTTCTGGTGGTTCCTCCTATTGGTTCTAATTCTTCCTTACAACATGACTAATGTGAAAATATGTTTAATAAGAATGTTTATGTAGAGCCTATATCAGATTGTGCACCATCTTGGGGAGAGAGATAGGGAAGGAGGGAGGGGGAGAAAAATTTAAAACTCAAAAGCCTATAAATCAAAAAAAATTAATTAATTTAAAAAAAAAGACTAAGAAAGACAGTCCCTGCCCTCAAGGGGCTTACAATCTAAAGAGGAAAGACTGAAAGAGGGAGGCAGAGGGGGTCAGCTTATTATTTTTTAAAGTAAGACACCAAGAACATTTCCCTTTATTAACAAGAGAAAACGCCATCCACTTAAGGCAAACTTTCAATCGTTCCAATGCCCCAACAAGCCGGCAGGTATTCACTAGAAATGCTCCAGCCAAGTTCTAACTTTCGAATTTAGTGATCCATCTCCAAGCCCTTCCTCTGACCCTCCCTCCTCCAGCCTTCCTTTGGACTTGTTCTTTCCATACTCGGCTCTGGGTCACCCAGTGAGTAGGGGCAGAGCAGGAAGTTCTCCGTGGAGTTTCTGGGATCCTGAAGGCCTGAGGCAGAGCTGTCTCAAAGCTTCCTTCCCCTTTCCTACAGCACTGTCCGTGCCCTATGTTAGGCAAGTTAGTACTTGATCTTTCGCTGTCTCATGTCCTTCTCAAAGGCCGTTTCTTCTGTGCGTCTTATCTGCCCGCCTTCATTTTACTAGGTGATGCAGTGGATGGAGCGCCAGCCTTGGAGTCAGGAGGAGTTCAGCTATGTCCTCAGACCCATTCACGAGCTGTGTGACTCTGGGAAAGTCACTTTATTCCAACTGCCTCACCAAAAAAAACAAAAAGCAAAAAAAACAACCAAAACTTCCTTTTAAGACCCCCAAAGTTCTGTAGTAAGTATTTTGTATCTCCCCTTTTTCCTCCTCTCCTTCCCCAAGATCAAACATGTTTCTGGGCACATAGTAAATATTCAACAAAATGGATTGTATCGAACTCAGTTTGCTTCTCAGTGTTATTTCTTAGCTGCCCACTCCATAGGCAGCCACCAATCAATACCACTTTATTAGAGAAAAAACCGCCCGAAGGAAGACCTACCCCATGGAAGTCTGCCCTTAGAAGACTTGTGTGAACTGATGCAGAGCAAAAAAAAAAAAAGCAAAACCAAGAGACTGATATAAACAACTGTAATAAAACAAGTAAAAACAGCACTAAGAAGCAGTGAAATTCAATGAATTGCAATGAATAATCTTGGTTCCAAAAAACAGAGGAGGCCCCAAACCCCCACTCATTTCAGGAGAGAGTGACTTGTTCTAAGTTACAGAGAGGCAGCAGTAGAAAGAATAAAGCTTGGGCACCAAAGGACCTGTGTTCAAATCCTGCCTCTAACACTTATTACTTGTGTGACCCGAAGCAAGTCACTTAACTTCCCCTAGGTTATAGTCTCCTCATGTATAAAATGACAGGGTTTGGAGAGATGGGCCCTAAGATCTCTTCCTGGTCTATATCTCTGAACCATAGATAGGAGGAGAGGAACAGGTATGAAATTTTACATATTTTATTAAACAGTGTAATTTTGTTAGTTGGCTTTGCTTAATTTTTTTTAAATAAAAGGGAGGTTTCAAGGTAGGAGGAAGAAGCATATAGGGAAATAATATAATGTTAAAAGGATTTCAGTGAAATAAAAGTCTGCCCTAACTGCCTGTCCCTTTCAAAATATTGTGCTGGACTGAGGCCTCTGAAAAGTCCCATAGTCTTACATTGTTCAGAGGACTTGTAACTTCTTTCAAACCTGGTAGCAAGGGGCCCCATCTCACAGTGTATACATGAACAGGCCACCTTGACCTTGACACCGGACCTTGAAAACCTGTGCTAACTGACAAGCACCTAACCTGGGGAATGGTATTTACTGTCTGTGGAGTCGGCAGAACCAAGTGAAAGCATAGCACAGATTGTACAAGCCGGAAGGCTGAGTTTTCCAGGGGGGAAACTATAACATCTCTGGGATCCCTTCGGGGAAGGAAACAGGACTCAGCAGATTTTGACGAGGAAAATGTTGGTGAGGCATTTAATTTAACACACATTTATAGTGTTTAAAGGCTTCCAGTGTGCTTTCCTCATAAACATCTGAGAATGTAGGCAACTCATGTTCGTATTCTTATCCCCATTTTATAGAGGCAGGTCATCACTCAGAGAAGAGAGGAGGCTTACCTGCTCTCACACAGAGAATTCCGGAGGACTGATGATGACCATGCTGTCTGTGTCCTGACAGAGGTAACTGAGTCAGGGTACCAAAATGAGATATGCATTTTTGGACAGACAAGGTAGGAACTGATTTTGCTTGACTATGTATATTTCCTCCTAGGGTTTTGTTTTCCTTTTCTTTGTCTCTTTTTCTCCAATAGGGAGGAAGTAAGAGAGAGAGAAAAAAATGCACATTAATTGAAAAAAAAAAGGAAGAAAACAGATTTGAAGCCAGTGGACTATATGTCCTATACTCATATATAGATCCATAGGTTCACAGAGTTCAATCTGGAAAGGATTCCCCAGGGACGTTCAGTGACTTGACCAAAGTCATACAAGTAATATGTCAAAGGCAGGATTTGAATCCAGGTCTTCAGACTCCAATTCCAGTGCTCTTTCCATAGCACCTCATGTGATCCTCACACCACATGGCCTTTCTAAATCAAACTAAGCAGAGCCTGAAGATCAAACTAAGTTGGAGAGGAAGTGAAAGAGGGCTGAAAAAACCCCTTTTACTTCCCCATACTCGTGTATGCCCTGGCTCCTTTCCTGATTCTGCCAGCTTTATGGGGAGCATCTAGCCCTTCTTCCACATCTCCGCCCACCAGGCTCACCTCCCGAGGTTTGTCCATCTCGTGCTGTAGCACTTGCTTGGCCAGCTCTGCCTCAATCAGCCTCTGCCGGAGATCTTCGTTCTCCTCCTCCAGTCGGATTCTCTTCTTTTCCACGGCCTCCAGCTCATTATGCAGCCGCACAGAGATGTCTTTGGAAACCTGCACACCCAGAGAAGAGACTAGGGTTGAGTGATCTCGGGTGGCCAAAGCCTCTGGCCACTCTCTAGGCCCCAGAGACATATGTGAGTCCTGGCTGCCTCTTCCTATCAATGATCTCATTGTATTTTCTTAGGTCAGAGGGTTATAGATTTTAAAGAAAGAAGGATATTGGAAATTGCTTAGTGTGACTGCCTCAAATTATAAATGAGAAAATTGAAACTGAAGCCCAGAAATGAGAATTAGTTATCTAGGTTCACACAGGTAGTAAAGGAAGCATCTTAAGAATCATTGTGTCCTGTACTCCAAGGAGATCAGTGATCAAAAGAAAGGTCCTATATACACCAAAAAAAAATTTTTAATACACCAAAATATTAAGGGCAGCATTTTGGGGGTAACAAAGAGCTAGAAACAAAGTAGATGCCCCCATCAACTGGGGAATGGCTAAACAAAACACGGTATGTGAATATAATGGACTATTATTGTGCCATAAGAAATGATGAACGTGAAGAATGCTCAGGGGAAGACATATGAACTGATGCAAAGCAAAGAAAGCAGGATCAGAAAGACAACTCAACACAGTGACCTCAACAATGTTACTGTAAAGAAAAACCATAGTAACAAAAAAGTCAAAATGAAATTCTGTGTAATCAAATGACCAAGCCTGGCCTTGAGGAAGAAATGAATATATACCTCCTTCTCTTCTTTGCAAGGGGAGAGGGGAGTGTTATGAAGGGGGAACATAGCACATATTTTCAGGCTTGTTTGATATGTTGATTGAACTTTTTTTTTCTTTCTTTTTCCTTTGTTTCAAGGCATAATGCTCTGGGTGAGGCGGGATATATTGGGAGATGAGGTAGTATAAAAACAAAAGTGAAACAATTTTTAGGTTAAAAAAAGATTATAGTCACTTGACAGATGAAGAGATTTTGGTTCAGAGAAGTAAAGAGATTTGATTTGCTAAATACACAAAAGGAATTAATGGCAGGGCTAGGACTAATCCTCTTCTGGGCCTGAAGAGTTGACTCCTCTTGCAACAGCAAGGTCTCTCACACTCCCTCAAAGTCTGCCTCAGTGAACCCCAAAGAGGATGGAGGGTTTTATGCAGAAATGGATTTAGGCCGCATCCATGCTGTACAACATGTACCTGGAGCTGGTCCTTAATGGGCATGAAAGGTACCATTGCAAGGGCAAGAAGGAGGGGACAAATCTGACTGTTAGGTTCTTTAGAAGCCAGGAGAGGCTTCATGGTTGAAAATATTTTCATCCTGATATTTTCAATGCCAAGATATTTTGAACTGAAAACAAAAGCCCTCCTATAAATGCAGCCTTCCCTCCCCACCAATTCTGACCAGGTTCATGGTAATCATAACTAACAGTTCATATTTCTATATTATTCATAATTCTATGTTAATTATGGTTTGCAAAGCACTTTCTTCACATTATCTTGTAAAGCAGGCAATGAAAGCATTATTAATCACACTTTACAAATAAACGCTGAGGCTCAGGGAATTGAAAGCACCTTACTTAGTATCATATAGCACAGGCAGCCAGACCCTATTAGCTGTGTGACACCTAACCTCTGTTTGCCTCCATTTCCTCATCTGTAAAATAGGGAAAATAGCAGCACCTACCTGTCAGGGTTGGGGCAAGGGTCAAGTGAGATAATAATTATCAAGTGTTTAGCCCAGTGCCTGGCACACAGTAAGCACTTAATGGATGTTGACTGACTGTAAGCCATATCTGATTCCAAACTCCCTGTATCAAAGACAGAAAAAGCCTAACTTCATGCCCTCTGCCAAGTAAATGCATGTTTGAGAGGGAGACCTACTCAATCTCTATCTTGATTTAAAAGAAAGCCCTTCCAGGGACCATCTGAGGTTATGAGTCGTTAACATAAACTTTAAAATCTGATCAAGATCCAGCTGCAGAGCACCAGCAAAGTTCCTGATGGATGGCTTTAGGCTTGGGGGGAAGGGCACTGGCCCTGCTCCAAACCACCTCTCTCGCTTCCCAATTTGGTTCTCTTTCCTAACGTTCCTCCCCCCTGCCCCAGCTTCCCCGCGCTCCTAAACTCCGCACGACAAAGAAATCAAACTACATCATACCCCTCAAAGTTACTTCCCTGAGCCTTGCAAAGCCAGCGCTTTCCATCTGAGATTATCTCCAGTTCATCCCGGAGTTATCTGGTTTGTGCAGAACTGTCTCCATGTTCTCTCCCCCATTAGATTCTGAGCTCCTCAAGGGCAAGGGTGGTTTTTGCCTTTCTTTGTACCTTCAGCATTGAGTAGGCACTTAATGTGTTTTTTTCTCTTGACTTAACTGAGACAGCACAGACTCCACAGAGCAACAAAAAGTCCTTTGGACTGGAGAAGCAAGGGAGCCAGGTTTTAGTCCTAGCTCACTGTGTGACTTTGGGCAAGTCACTCCCTCTTTATAGACCACACTTTGCACATGTGTAAAAAGAGGGGTTGGTGGGCAGCTAGGGGGCACAGTGGATAGTGCTCTGGCCTTGGAGTCAGGAGGAACTGAGTTCCAATCTGGCCTCAAACCATGGACGCTTACTAGCTGTGTGACCCTGGGCAAGTCCCTTAACCTCATTGCCTAGCCAAAAAAAAAAAAAAGAGGGGATTGGATTAGATGCTCACTGGAGTCCCTCTAGCAATACAATTAGATGGTTGACGCATTCTTTGGACCTGCTAGCCTGGCCTTCTTGCTGTTCCTCACACGTGATATTTCATCTCCTGTCCCCATGCCTGCTGTTCCCCCCTGGAAAAATCCTCGGTTTCTTTCAAAGCTCAGCTCAGGAATTACCTCCTACAAGAGGCCTTTTCTGGCTATCCCAGTTGCTAGTGCTGTCCCCCTGAAATTGCTTTGTATTTATTTTGTCAACATTTTCTCTTTAATCATATATGTACATGTTGTTCATCCTACTAGAATGTAAGCTCCTTGAGGGCAGGGACTATTTCATTTACTTTTTCGTACCTCTAGCGGCCCTACACAGTGCCAAGTACACGGCAGATGCTTGGTGCCTGACTGATTAATCACTGACTATAAAGCAACAATGCTGACTTTTGTGGATGGCTTGTGAAAGCAACCTCAGCGTTCTTCACAAAGGTACGGTCTGGCAATGCAGTGGAAAGAGCCCTGGCCTTGGGGCTTAAGCTATGTGACATGGTCATCTCACCTCTGACCATGCTTCACCATCTCTGAGATGGAACTTAAAATACCTCCCCCTACCTACTTCCCAGTGTTGTGAGGAAAACGCACTTTAAAAGATCATAAAGAGCTACAGAAATGGAAACTATTTTCATGATAAGAGTCAGGCAGAGCTGATTCTTTGAACTCCAGGCTAATTCTAGATGCACAGATAAATACATTCAATTAGGTAGTACAGTAGATGGAGTGCTGGGCCTGAAGTCAAGAAGCCCTGGATTCAAATCCAACCTCGGATGCTACCAGCTGTGTGACCTTGGGCAAGTCACTCAAAACTCGGTATTCCTCAGTTTCCTTAACCTTAAAATGGGGGTTATAATATTACCTACCTAATATGGCTGTTATGAGGATCAGATAAGACAATAATTGTAAAAGTGCTTAGCACAGTGCCTGGCACACAAGTAGGCATTTAGTAAATGCTTGATGATTATTATTTAATATTGTGAACTGTAGTTTTCTATGTATGTAGTTTATCCCTCTATTAGACTATGAGCTCCATGAGGGCAAGAACTAGGTCTGATCTAAAGTTTCTTTCTAAACTTTATATTTCCCCCAGCATTTATCATAGTGTTTTGCATACAGCAGACCCTTAATAGATGCGCAGTGAGCTAAACCAAACTACTAGATTTTTCAGACTACAAAAATGTTTTTACTCATCATGGGCCCTGCTGGGATGTGGGTGGCTGGACTGCCGGGGGTGGCTGGTGAGGGGCAAAGGCCAGAGGGCCTGTAAGGATAAGCTGGCAAGATAAGTCAGCCTAACTCTCACTGGAAGCCCCCTTAAAAACCAGTGCAGTCACCCCGATAAATCACGTCCCCCTCTATGGAAATCCTTCTCTCATCCTCTAAGAACTCCCCAAGCCAACCCCCAGGTTTCCCTTGAAACAAGGCCCACATGGACATTTCATCAAAGCTTCATTCCTGGATAGTGATGTTCTCTCACGCCCTATACAGGGAAAAGGGCCACTAGAAGACATGTAGCAGGAATGTGATGAGATCATGGTTTTCTAAGCCCTGAAGGAGGAGGAGGGAAGCAGCTGCCACCAACTAGGGGATTAGCCAATTAAAATCCAAACATGCAAGGCAAGTCTCTGGATTAGGGACTGTTCTGACTTCCTGAGCCCCTAATCACAGTGGATGCCCTACACATGCCAGAGCCATCTCCTTGTGTGACCCAAGCTTCAACTCTTCCACTCACTTCACTTACCAAATTCTCTGGGAAATATGGCTCCTGGGAAGCAAAACTAAGGGACTTAACAGGGAGGTACTTTATTTCATACAGAATTTGCAGAATTGCCTGGGGACTTTGGGAAAGAATTTCCTAAAAGATCTTCCTATCTTCAGTCTCTCAACTCCAATTCAACCTTTATATAATGCCTGAAGCATCTTCCTTACTCATAGATTTGGTCATTTTGCCACTCTGCTCAAAAATCTTCAATGGCTCCCTATTACCTATCGAGTAAAATTCAAATTCTTCCACCTAGCAGTCACAGCCCTTCACAATTTTCTACCACTATCATCCTTCCATTCACTCTAGAATCTGGTTAAACTGGGTAACTGCCCCTGAAACATATCCTGTGCACCCTGCCTTTGCTTACATTGCCCCCTCTCTATGGAGAGTGTTTCCTCCCAATTTTACCACTAAGTTGAGAAATTTAATATACTTTTTTTCTTCCAAAACAAGCTGCACATAAGAGAAAGTCATGGTTTCATGCCCGATCTTCTTTTTTTTCTTCTTTCTATATTGAAATGTTTCTGGACAATGTTAAGTTCATATTTTTTTAAAAGTGTTTTTTTTTAAGAGAAGGGGCTCACTCTTTCTCTTTCCTTGCAGTATTCCTACCTATCCTTAAAGTTCAACTCAAATGCAATCTCCTCCAAGAAGCCTAGACCCTTGGCCTTCCTAATGCTCTTTTCCTCTGCACAAAGCAAAAGGAGGATAGCAGATACTACGCCTAGGTCCAGAGAGACCAGGAAGGTATTTTTACCCAAAGTTCTGTGCCACCCTACCCGCCACCCCCATCTCAATAGTCCATATTTAGAAGAAAACAGGCAAGAAGTGCCTGGACGGAGAGAAGTACTCCAATCCAAGATTCAGCAGCCTCTTTAGCAATAAATGCTATTTCCAAGCATAAGTAATGCTGACTGAGTTGGGAACAGGACAAGAGAGGAGAAAATGAGGGAAAGAAGAGTGGAAGAGGAGATGAGAGGAGATAGGGAGAGGACAGAACAGGAGAGAAGAGAGAAGAGAGTGTAACAAAACATTTTTAAGTATTTCCTGCATGAGGAGTACTGAATACAGAGAAGTCAGAGGTGGAAAGGAATAGCTTCTGGTACCAGTTCCTTGATGCCCACTCTTAAGAGAGTCTGCCATGATAGGTGCCTACCCTTCTAGGAATCTAGCCTGAAGAGATATAACTAGAACCCAACACACTAGTAGGTTAGTATATTTGCTATATCTTAAATATGCCATGTTCTACTTTATCTGTAACAGGAAAATCTTCCCACAGGATCTCTACCTAGAGAGATCCTTCTCACCCTGAAAACTTGTCCCGTCTTCTCCTCTTAGTCTTCCCTGCCCATCCTATTCCTCAGCAATCTCTCTCTATCTCCTCTGAAGTCCTAAACATTTTTTGTCATTTGCCGGTACTTTTTTTGTACCTTCTACCGTTAGCTAACTTTTCATGGGTGGATATTTAATCTCCCCAAGTAGGTTTTAAACCTTCTAAAAGCAAAGACTAGGTCTTAAAACTTGCTCAGTATCCCTCACAGCATCTAGCATGGAAAGGCATCTTTCCCTAAATAACATGATCAACACAAAATGGTCAATTGATGGATTGTTTAATAATACCTGGAATGCTAGCACATCAGGTGTGCTACCTAGGACAGTGCCTCAAAGGCATACAATAAAGAGGGGGCATGAAAGGACAGAGATAATTTTTTGTTGTTGTTCTGGTTTTGAACCAGATTTGAACTCAGGTCCTCCTGACTTCAGAGCCAATGCTCTATCCACTATGCCATCTAGATGCCCCCAAGGACAGAGATAATTGAGGGGACACTCTGGAATTACTAAGCAACACTCAGCCTGGGATCAATGGAAATTAGGCAAAGGAGACAGTGCCCAGCCCAAATGTGATCCCCCAGGCCAGAATTCTCAGTCAGCATACTCTCAAACTCAGAGTAAATGTCATTGTCAGGAACAAGGGTGAGAACGGATGCCCTTCCCAAAACAAGGCTGGGCATATTTCCAATGGGCCACGACACTAGGCAATGTCTCAGGCTGTAGCTACTGTGGCAACTTTCTTACTTGACCCCCAAGAAGAGCAGGTTGTGTCACCCACCAGCCGGGGAACGCACAATTATGCTTTAGGCTGGTCACATCCTGTATCCTAGGAGGAGCTCCAGAAGTCTAATGAACAGGCACCCTGCAGGCTGGGATCTGGCCACTCTCTTTGCCTGCTGAATTTCTCTCAATCTTTTAAGCTCAGCTTAAATGTCAGTTCCTCCAGGAAGCTTCAGAAGTCACAATGGCTCTGGATCCAGGTGATCTGGGCTCAAAACTCACTTCTGGCCGGTACATTTACTAGCTGTGTAACCTTGGGCAAATAACCTCCTTGGGTAACATGTTCCCCATCTATGAAATGGGGATTGGGCAAGGTGGTCTCTGAGGTTCCTTCCAGCTCTAAATATGTGATCCCTCAAGAGTGATGAACTTTCCCCTCAGACCTAATACAGCACTTTGTACCTCTCAAATGTATTTACTAAATATATCATGTATTACTGTTATATAAATTTGTCTTGGCCCACTAGAATGTAAGGAACAGGACTGTATCTTCTCTAAATTTCCTATCCCTTGGTTCCTAGTATAAGGAGGCATTTAATAAATGTTTAATGAGTAAATGAATGAAGTGAATGGCTAAGAGTGCTCTTCCTGATGACTCACCTTGACATCCTGCTCCAGGCTATGGATGAGCTCCCCATCCACCTGGCCCGTCTGGGCCACTCGGAGGCTGCGCCGTTCTGCCTTGCGTAGCCGGTACTGCAGGATGCGGCAGGTCTTGCTGGCTTGGTCCAGCTGCTGCCGGAGCTCTTGAAGCTGGTAGACATCCTCCTCCATGTAGACATCCCGCATCTCCAGCATCTCAGCCCGCAGCTCCTCGATCTCATCCTAGAAAGAGGAAGGCGAGAGCTTCAGTCCTGCAGTGTCCCCTCTGTCCTGGTCACCATTTCCTAACTGACCTCCCTTCTGTCTCCCTGCCCCCGCACAGTGAGGCCTTCTCCACAGCCAGAGTTACTGAGCCCTGGCGGTACTCTGTGCCTGGAACTACAATGGGGCAGGGGGTGGAAGGGCCTAAAAAATGGAAAAGCAAGAGACCAAGGCACAAAGGACCTTTCAATATAATTGGGAGAGAAGTTCAGAAACACAAAACACAGGAAGTATGTTGTGGTCTAAATAGCTCTGGACTTGGGCACCAAGCCCATTTCTTCATCTGTAAAAGGGGTAATGATATCTGTACAATCTACCTCATAAGGTTGCAGTGAGGAAAGTGCACTATAAACTCAAGGGACTCTAGAAATTATAATTTATTCATAAGAAGAAAGTATATAATCAAAGTTAGCATCACAGGACTTAGAGACCATCTAAGAAAATCCTCTTTATTGCACAGAGAAGGAGACTGAGGCATAGAGAAGGGAAGAAAATCCTCTTTATTGCACAGAGAAGGAAACTGAGGCATAGAGAAGGGAAATGACCTGCCCAAAGTCAGTCAGGAAGTGAATCCAGATCTTTTGAGTTCAAGTTCAGGGGTCTTTACAATGCCCTATGATTCCTCTTCAGTCCTGCAAAGATCCACAATTTCCTCTCAGTTGGGTATTCTTAACCTCTTTTCTGTCATGGATTCCCTTGGGCAGTCTGGGGAAGCCAAGACCCCAACTCAGAATCACATTCTTAAATGCATAAAGTAAAAACAGATAGGATTACAAAGGAAACCAATTCTATAGCAATATTGTCAGAAGAGATTTACAAAAAAAAAAAAGTTCACAGACCCCAGGTTAGGTACTCCAATCTAAGTGAATTTCATAACTCTCCCAATGCCAATCATAGCTCATTCCCAAGAACAGCAGCTCAGTTTACAGATAGATGCCAACTGTCCACCACTTCCTGCTGCCCAAGCTTATTTCTTATTCCCTTCCTGACTCTAAAATTCTCTTTATATCATTCTGGTCAGAACCCTATTCTACAGAAACCAATGTTAGGGGGGAGAAACCAAAGCTGGAAATGAGAATAGGAAGTGAGATAATTTATATAATTTCAAATTGGAGAAGAAAAGAAAAAGAAATAAGACACAGTATCCCAGGAAGGAGACAACACAGTTACTTGCCCAGGAAAACCTTGATGGAAAGGAAGGATGGGTCAAAACAGTTACCAGGTCCGGGGCCTGCTGGATATTGGGGGGTGGGGAAGAAGTTGGACTAGACACCTGACATTAAGTATTTGAAGAGTTATCTTGGAGAAGAGGGGTCAGATTCATTTGGCTTGACCCCCAAAAATAGAACTAAAAGCAACATTGAAAGTTATAGGGAATTAGACTTCAGCTTAGTAATAATATAATAATGACTTCTAGCAGTTATGGCAGTCAGGAAAAGGAATGGACTTCCTCTCAAAAAAGTGAATGTCACCATCCCTGGAGGTGCCTATTCAAGCAGAAACTGGATGACCACCTGCACTGGAAGTGAGGTCAGACTCAATGTCCTCCAAAGTCCCTCCCACCTTTGAGACATCTGATTGCCTCCGCTCCTTGGCAGGAGAGAAAAGAGCTAGGGTCCATAGAAAAGGAAACATCCAAGAAGTATGAGTGTGTGTCGGGGCAGCCAAGGGCATCAAAAGCTACAGGCAGGTCAAGAAGGAGGAATGAGAAAAGGTCGTTCGCTTTTACGGATGGGCAATTACAAAATCAATAGTAGCCTTGGAGAGAGCTGTTTTGGATGAGCAGAAGAGCTGGAAGCCAGACTACAAAGGGCCTGAAAAGTGAGTGGGAGGTGAGGAAATGGGTGTAGATGATTCTTTCTAGGAATTTGGCTGTGAGGAGGGGTGTAGGATGATGAAGAGGTAGCAAGGTCAAGTAAAGATTTCTTTTTCTTTTTTTTTTTTTAGAAGAATGGGGGAGGAATGGGTATGTTTATAGATTGAGTTAGCTTTTTTTTTTTTTAGCAGCCACATGACATTGTTGAGAACACTGTAATCAACCCAAATCCCCACATCTTTCTTCATGACTGTTTTCAAGCTAGGTCTCTCCCACTCTGTATTTATATGATCGGTTTTTTTTTTCTAATCTAAAGTGAAGGAATTCCATATTAAGTCACTTCTGCTTCTTGCTTGTTAAATTTCTTATTGGTTCTGACCTAACCATTCTCCTGAACTTCACTCCCTGGGCGCCCCAGGAATGGGTGGGCTCTTGGCTCTACGTGGAGAAGCTAGCCAGCTGCAGTCAAAATCTAGGTCAGCAGAGCCTGGCACGGCTCACCACGTGAGGGGACTGAATCGACAATACGGGGTTTGTAGCTGTCACAGGCTATGTGTCTGGCAGACAATCCCAGGGTCTGTGCTGGAGGGGCTCCCCTCAGTCTCCGGGTGATAGAGCAGACAGACAGAGAAGCTCACATGAAGGAGAGGGGAGCTGGGGAGCCCCGTAAAGAGTTCTTAACATTCAGTGGGGGCTCTCAGGGAGGGGAAGGCCAGACAGCTGAAGGCAAATCTGATCAGTGGTAACTAATGCTCATCTGAGTTCTTCTTTCTCAGCTGTGAAGTGACAACCTTTTGGTATATCATTACAATGTCCTGAGGGTGTCACTACTTCTGGGTTACCTTAATTCCCTTTGCCAAACTATGGCCATTGCTGGAGGGAGTGACAGAAAGGAGTGCAGAAAGGAGTAGGTCTGGCTCTAGGGAATGCCTGTAAGGTCTATACTTCCCATTAGTGAACCCTGAAGTACCTACTATGTTAAAAAAGGCCCTTCGAGTGCTAGGGGTACATAGATAAGACACAGGTCCTCGCTTCAGGGAATTTATCATCTAACAGTGAAGATGAAACAAAATACATAATAACTTTCATACAAAGGAGAATGAGGTAAGCAAAAAGAATGTGAGACAAAGTGTTTATGAAACATCTGAGGAGAGAACACTTTCAGCTTGGTGAATGGAGAGGGTAGGAAGAATCAGGCAAGGCTTCCTGGAAAAGGTAGCATCTAAGTCGAGCCTTGAGGAAAGGGAGGAAATTCACCAAATTAATCAGTCAAGCATTTATTAAGGGGCAGCTAGGTGTTGCAGTGCATAGAGTGCCAGGCCTGGATCCAAGAAGTCTCGTCTTCCTGATTTCAAATCCAGCTTCAGACACTTACTAGCTGTAACAGCCTCCTCACCTCTACCTCTTCTAATTCTCTAATTTCCTTCAAAGATCAGCACAAACACCATCTTCTACATGAAGCCTTTTCCAATTCTTTTGAGCTCCTACCTCCCCTGCAAAAAAATTACCTTATATTGATTTTGTATATACTTATAAATATCCATGCCATCTTCTTTTTCAGAAGAATATAGCCTTCTTGAGGGCAGGATGATGTTTCATCTTTATCTTTGTACCCTCAGCACCTGGCATATAGTCAAGTGCTAAATAAATAAATACATGTTTGTTTCAGTTTTGTGAAATTTGGGAGATCATATAAGTTTCTGAGTCTCCTTGTTCTCATCTTTAAAATGGGAATCATGATACTTTTACAACCTAATTACCTCACAAGTTGTGAGGTATATGCTTTGTCATTCCTCAAGTCCTACTGAAATGTGAGCTCTGTTTTTATAATGTATTACATTAAATTGCAGAACACAGTGCTATGTGAAACCCAAGAAGGAAGGTAATTACTGATCAGAAGAACCAGGAAGGAAACATATGGAAGGAGACAGCACTAGGGTTACAGGGCACAGCCCCACAGGGGACTTAAAGAAGAACATTTGCTCTCTCTGGGAGGCTAAGCATGTCAACCTAAACCTCAGGGCCTTAGTTCCCTACCATGTAAAATAAGGTGTTTGAGTTAAAGGATTTCATAGGGTCCATCCATCCAACTCTATACAATCTACAATATTGAATCTGGACAATGAGGTAGCACAGTGGATAGAGCATTGGGCCTGGAGTCAGGTAGACCTGAGTTCAAATCTGGCCTCAGACACTTACTAGCTGTGTGACCCTGGGCAAGTCACTTAATCCTGTTTGTCTCAGTTTCTTTATCTGTAAAATGATCTGGGGAAGGAAATGGCAAACCACTCCAGTATCTCTGCCAGGAAGACCCCAAAATGGGGTCACAAAGAGTCGGACCCAACGGAACAACAACAAGATAAGTCTTTTCAGAGTGAATGATACCAGTAGGATCCAAAAAAGCAGCATCTGATAAAGCAGGGTGGGGGAGACCTCAGCAGGTGAGCATCTCTGAGAAGCAAAGTAGGGCCTTCCACATCTCACCTCTGCTCGCAGGAAATGAGATGAGCAGCCTGCGAACCCAAGAGTTCTTTCCTTTTCTATCGGGGTTTGATTTAATTCTGCTCTTCCTTCCTAGAAGATATATAACTATAAAAAGTATGAACCACTTCAAAGAGTCCCTTCTGTCTTCCCCTACAGCAAGTCCCTCCTTTCTCCCCTTCCTATCTCTTCATGTAAATTCTAAATAGTCTTTTTTGTTTCTTTCCCCAAAAGTGCAAAGAGGGGGCCCAGGCTGCCAAGGGACGTGCTGCAGCCTGACAAAGAGAGGGGCAGGAGGGTCTGCCCTGCCTGGGAGATGGGGCTCAGCTGTTGACAGGAAGGTAAGTACTGTTCACAGCCTGCCAGACACCTCAGGGGGCATCAAGTCCGATTGGCACCTACCAGGAATCACCTGATCGGATGATTTCCCTAAAAATTGGCCATTAAATCCGGCTCCTGGAGGACAAAGATCATCTTTTGCCTCTTTTTTGTATCCCTAGTGTTTAGTACAGTGCCTGGCACATAGTAGGTGCTTAATAAATGTTTAATGCCTGGCCATGCAGCCTCAGCTTGAATACTTATAACCGCAGAAGGGAATCCCCCCTCCCCTAACGCATCCCATGTCACTCTGGGACAGCTGTTGCTGTTGGGACGTTTCTCCTTA